AGACTGTTCTCAAAAGTGTCCCTTTGGGCTCTGGGGTGACTGCAGAGTAGCCACACATCACTAGAGATGAGATCACAGACAACTCTGGCTGTGCAGCTCACAGACCAGCTCACGGACCAACGAGAAACTCATGAAGGCAGAGAGTGGGGAGAGAGGCTCTAAAAATGAAGGACTAAGGAGGGCCAAACCCTGAAGGCACAGCATGGATTGCCAGCTGGCCCCTGCCAGACCATGGGGCCAGGGCTCTTGCCACAGAGGTTTCCCAAAAGAGAGTTTGTTCCAGCCCAAAGCCACGCAGAACAGGAGAAGGAGCCTTGTTTTTCAAGGCTCCAGAGATGTCACAATCCGAGTGTGATGTAAAAATTGCCTCAAGGGTGATGAACTCTGGCCTTGCAGATGAGTCAACAGAGGGTGAGTTTTCAGTGAGCAGCCTACTGTTTACACACAATCACCGTGGAGAACAGCATGCAGCCAGAAGGCTAGTCAAGGGTCAAGGTGGCAGGCAGGCTTCGTCCTCACATAGCACTGCAGAAACATCAGCACTCACCCCACACTCCAGGATGCTCACCCTCTATTGCATCTATGAGACAAGATCCTTCTGGGAGGGACTGACCCACCCAGAACCATTAAGTGCCCACCTTGAAACATACAAACTGAACACCTATACCCTCACTCAGGAGGCCACCCATAGGACAGCCTGCTCCCCCCACCACCACGCAGCCCAGCACAACCCTTCAGAAGGAGTATTCAAGCCCAATGCTCAGTTCTCAGCCCATTCCAGCTGGGAGATTCCCTACAGTGACTCGACTTCCCACAGTCTCCATCCCGTTTCCTCACCTGAGAAATGGAAATTGCTCTACCACAGGGCTGACAGGGGACCAGATGAAATAAAGTGTGCGGCTCAGGCTAGCGCTGGCATGCGGGCCTCAATCCACAGATGGTGGTTACTGTCCCCTTTAGGCTTTCTTGAGGGAGAGGGCACAGTACAGACACAGCCAGCAACTTCAGGCATTTGCAGGACGACTCCTGTCACCAACACTCACAGGAACCTAGAACACTGGCATCTGAACTCGAGATCACAGTGTGACTCCTTTTCATAGCTATGTTCCAGCAGCTCAAGCTCCCTCCCAACATGAGAGGCAGCCTGGGCCTGTGAGGACAGTCCAAGTGACTTCAGGCAGGCCACATTGCTCCCGACACACAGTAAGAACAATAACCTAGCTCTCGTGCTAGCTTATTGTCAAGAAAATGACACATGCCCAGATGAAGGGTTTTACAGGGGTTTGGCCCACAGCCAGAAGGGGCTGCGCCACTTAATCCTAAAGGTGGCCTGTCTGTAAAGCAGACACAGCTGGCAAGAAGCTGCCCTGCTTAGGGACAAGTGGGGCTCCTTCAGGAAGGAGAGATGAGCCTGCTCATTGAGGCCTTGCTGTGGGAAGGGAAGAGACTAAATTAAGGCTCCTCCTGCCACCGGTGCCTGGGCTGACATCCACGCAGCCGCCCCCTGAGCAGCAGGCAAACAGCCCCCAGCACGGCTCCAGAAAAGTCATGAAGTATTCACTGCAGGCCTACACTACACCTCCTCTCTCCACACACCCTTCCTCAGAACACAGCCCTACAGCAGTCCTCCAAACCTTAGAGGGCCACCCCACCCCTAGCCCCAACCGCCTTCCCAGCCCCTCATTTCTCAAGGCCTGTGCATCCAGCACACCTTGACCACTTACTCAGCAGAGCTCAGCTCTGGTGTCTCCTAGAAGCACCTCTTTCAAATAGCACCCTTTTATGTCACCCACTCCATACCGTCGGGTCGCCCCATTTTATTTCCTTCTTGACACTGACTGCTGACAAGCTCTTCATGCTGATTTCTGTGCCACCCTGTTCATCATCTGTCTCCTACCTCTAGAATGTCAGCTCATGACAGTAGGGGCCTGCCTTGGTTACTTGTGAATATCCAGTTCCTGAGCAGCGGTCCTACACAGACCAGGCGCTCAGTCAGTTTCAGGTATGTAGGAGCCCAGGCCCCATCTCCTGGGGCTCTGCTCTAACCTCCAGGCAGGGACTAGCTCTAAGTAGAGACGTGAAGTGCACAGGAGAGATCAAGACTGCGCTGAAGGACACACATGTGCCAACAGGATCCCCACAGCCTCTGAGCTCAGAGAGGGCCAGGGGATAGGATCTTTATAGCTGAGAAGGATCTGGACTGGCAAGGGTCAGGGACTGGCCCAAGACCTCACACGGAGAGAGCTGAGATTCAAACCCAGATAGGCTCCAATCCCCAAGCTTCTTAGGCCCCTCCCTGGGCCCTTGATTTTTCCTAAACAACAACATGCTCCTCTCTACCAAGGAGCTTATAACCCAGGAGAGGAAAAGGCCACCCAGCAACAGTGCCCACCAAATCCAATGATGAATTACCTAGGTGGTCAACGCAGGTGCCCCAGGAAGGGTCGCTTCTTCAGAGTTGGGAGATACTTCCCAAAACAGGCAAGTGAGGCCATCTTGGAAGGATGAGTTGTGTCTTCTCTCCCATCCCAGCAAAAAGGGGGATCCACAGGAGTGCATCCCTCAGGACTCACTAGAGTTTTTATATTCAAGGAGAAACTGCATGAAGCCTAAATCTGGATGGCAGGCAGCTACATGTAGTATCACATATTCACCTTCCACCACGTTCCAGGCAGGCTACCAGATCTGCACAAAGGCAGCTCAGACTTTAGATCCCTCTGGAGAGAGAAACCACGGGGACTTTTATGGGGGCTGCTCCAACAACTAGGATTACAGGAAGCTCTCCTCCAATCCCCTCCCACATTTGAATTTGTACAAGTCTCTTCACAATTAAAAAGTAAAAACCCTCTCCACAAATTGCCATTGGTAAACCGTATAATCTCAGTGCAAGAGAATAAAAAATGTTAGATGCTAACGACGGAACTGTTTATCAGAGGTTTTGTTAATAACTATGCACTGTTCTGGTCACATAAACGAGTTCTTCAAGTCACCTTCCCCATTCCCAGTGCCCAAAAGCACCAAGAACACCCAAGCTGCCCTCGTTTTAGCCCAGTCTACTACACTGCTCAACGACTATGATTAAACACGAAAAATGCCAAATCACTTAAATTACCAGACAGCTTCTGAGAAAAACACAAGTCTAGGTAACCCCAAATTTCAGCCCAGCCAGCAAAGTTGGCGAGGATGGCTTGGAGAAGTTCTTCCTGGGGAGCTCCTCCTAGTGATCAACACTGACCTACATAGCTGGGTTCCACATGGGACCAGCTGGAGTCTGCAGTTACCTTCATCCTCATATGAGGAAGATCTAACTTAGTTAGGAAATGTAACCAACATCCAAAATTAAAAATAGCAGTGTGACAGCATGAGGTGAACGCACAGGCGGGCCTTCTGGACAACTGGATCAAGCAAGGGCAGCATAAGAAAGAAGGTGGAGCGCCTAACCCAGAGTAACCAGGTACCAAGTTCATCTTACGTACATGACTCATGAGCTCTTCCCTAGCTGCCTCTAGGAAAGTCTGCCTTCCTGTAGGACAAGTCAGAATCTCCCAGGGAAAAAGATGCAAGGGCGTAATTCCACAAGAAAGGGAGGCTCGAGCCAGCCACTGTGCCCCTACCTCCTCCTCCTCCCCTAGAGGAGTGCCTCAGCCTCACCTTTGGGTATCCTTCTGACAAGGTGAGAACTCACTCTTCGAAAAAAGATGAAGTCTCCATTTTATTACGGGGAAACTGAGACACCAGGACAGGAAGGAAATTGCCCAAAAGGTGGGAAGACGCTCGGGAAGGGTGGGCACCGGGGAAGTGGTAGGAATCAAACAGGGGAAGAAATTCCCAGCTTAGCTAATGGTGCTGAACAAGTCCCAGGCAGGAAGAAAGCCACATTCCTTCCTACTTAGTCTCTCTCCTCACCAGCCCGAGGCCTCTCCCCCCCATCCCTGGTATACACACACACACACACACAAGGAGGGGGCCCTCCCCAGCCACCTATGACTACGAAGTCCCCATTTTCCAGGCAAGGAAGAAAAGGTCTCAAACCACTTCCCCTCAGGACCTGACCACTGGGCACCTGTAACTTCTGTCCCAACACAGACGGAGGGCGCCATGACACAAACAGAAATGGGAAGGAGAAGGTTTCTGATCACGGCCCCAGATGTGCCTCAAAGTCAGGCCTGAAAGAAGGTGCACAAGAGTCTTCCCCACCCCCTGCCCCCAGCCAGGTGGCAGAACTGAAACGCCTTGAACTTCCCCAGATGGGCCCAAATCGGTGCCTGAGAAGTTTGAAAGTCAGCAACCAGGTGCTATGAAGTATGAGAGCTCCCTCCCAGGTGCCCACCACTGGCTCCCAACCTGGGAAAAGCACCATGTCTGCGACCCCCCTACATACACAGCTTCTTTCCCCCAAAAACACTCCCACTCTTCGAAAGTGTCTAGAGAGACAGGATCACCTGGGGCGGGGGCGGGGTGGTGGTGGAGGAGAGTTGAGTACAAGCTGTCAGTTTCTGTCCAAACTACCCTTCCCAAGAAACAAGAGCGAGCCCAACTCCAAGGACATCGTTGGAAAGAGTCAAAGACCGCACCCCACACAAAAGGAACAGGACCCCCCAGGTACCCCGATAGCAGTGTCCTCACTGACCCACCCTGCCATGGACCCAGAAGCAACCCCAAAGCATCTCCAACCCCCTCCCCCGACCAGGTAAACAGACAAGTTCCTGCCCAGCTGCCGGGTGGACCGGGAAAGGCCCCAGACGCCGCCAGGTGCCACACAGACGCCCCTCGGCCCAGGCACGCGAGTTTAGGCCCGTCAGCCGCCAGGGGTCGACCGCCAGTGTCGCCTCGGCGCCGAGAATAAACGTGGTTCCCCGCGCCCCACCAGCCCAAGTACCCGCGAGCAGCACCCCGGACGCCCAACCCCGCGCGCTTAGGCCCGGATGCCCGGCTAGGGGCGCGCGAGGCCAGCCTGTCTCCGATGTCCCTGACGGCCGCGCCGGATCCGCGCCGCTCACCTGGCTGGCGCGGTAGCTCTCGAAGGCCCTCAGAGCACTGTCGGTGAGCTTCACGTGGAACACGGACACCTTGCTGCCATCGCTCACTCGCCCGCACGACAGCCCGTAGCTTCGACCCTCCTTCAGCGCCGCCATCTTGCGACCATCTCTCCCCGCCCCCCCTTCCCGGCTCCAGGGCCAGCGCGCCGGCCACGCCCCGCCCCGCCGCTCGCTGACGCGCTGCATTATTCATGAGCGCCGGCCACGCCCTCTCCGGCTACCGCGAGGACCCCCGCAGACACCGCACAACCCGCCCGTGATGCATTATTCATAAGACATGGCTGGCCACGCCCCCTGAGGGCCCGGCGAAGCCCTCATTCACTGCCCGAACTTCCTGCATATTCATGACAAGCCTGAGTGACTCCACCTAAGGGAGCCGCTTCCGCTCCCGGACTCCGCCCCGACACGCGCACCCGCTTCAGGCCCCGCCCATGTACGTATTGCGCACCGAAGTCCCGCCCCACTGGGGGCTGATGTGATGCATGAGTGATGTATTATTTATGAGGTCTCTCTCAGACTTCTGTCTTAGGTTTGTTGAGCGCCGCAGTGTGGGCGTGGAGGGGCCTGGCCGGCGCAAAACACGTGGAGGGTGGGGTCAGCATCTGGCTGGGTGAGTGGGCGTGGCCATGCAAACCAACCACGCATTGGGCGCTGGATTGGGCTCCTGGATTTCACAGGTAGATGGGAGTCTTCCTCTTTCCCCCGGCTTTTAGGTGATTGGGGGGTGGTGAACTTTACTCACGATAAGCGTAGATTTTTAATATAGTAAAATCTTACATCCCCACGGGCCCTGAGAGATGGTGGTTATCCAGCTCCTCCATTTTTAAAAATGCATTTTATATATTACAAAATTAACCCATTTAACCCATTTCCCTTTTAGGAAAAAAGTGCAGCTTGCTGCCAGCTTAATTTTACATAAACA